CATGAAGAGATTTGATGGCTTTCTCCGTTGGAGCTAAAGGTGGCCACTAAGGGTAGCAGCTTCATAAAGGATAGGTTTGACTGCCTTGGGATCCAGATGCATTCTTGGTGATAGCTATTAGCACCTTTTAGCTAGTGTAAATGTGGAAAAGCATATACATAATGAGGAGAGAGCAAATGTTTGAATAAACACTCCAGAGAGAGCAGCAGAGATTGCATTAGGATGGAGCACTGCATCTGTCTAAGGACTACATCCCTGGAGGGCAGTGACCACAGCAACATTCCCATTGCAGCTCCTTTTTTGCACACACACACACACACACACACACCCTTTTTTAAAAGATTTGCACTTGAAAAAGATTTAGCTGCTGCTAAAGATAACTTTTAGTGTGTTATACTCGTATTTACTGGCAATTTCACTCTTCCCTTCTCTCCTTCACCCCTTTTTTGAAAGACCAAACAATTGATTTTTCAGGCAGAGGCAGTGTGAAAGGAGGTGGTCCACGAATGTTACTTTCTTAAGAGCTTTTAGCCATTGCTGGCTTTTGTTGCCAAACTTGTAATTCTTATCCCTGCCTAAAAATTTTCAGTGAAAAAACTGCTTTTCTACTGTTGTTCCTGATACATTTTGGATTAGGAAAATGTGGGACCCGGCACTGTGCAGAAGACACGCAGCAGACCCGGACTGCACTGCAAAATGGATTACTTCAAGGTACAGCAAGTGGGGGTTAGAAAGACATTGCACGTAGAATTGAAACGACCTTATTCCACACGCTGGTAATCTTGCTAACTCTAATTTTGTCAGAAAGTCTCTCTGATCTGATTTCCAGATCTTGTTTCTTTCTGTTTAGTAAGTGCAGTCACTTTGGCCAGTTGTGTTTGTTGTGTGTGTTTACTTTCTTAAATTCATGGAAATGAGTGTGATCTTTCTTTATCTGGAGTAATAAAAACAGAGAGAGCTTTTATATCAACATCACTGAAATTGAATTTGTGGAAATATTTTGTCTATGTGAGGTTTTATTTGATTCTTTAATTAATTTCATTTCCTGAATTTAGATTCAATTATGTTCTTCCTTTTAAATGTATTCTGTTGTCCATGCTAACTAGCTCTTCTTGTGACAGATGCAAATATTAATGAAATCTTGGATCTGGTGTGTAGAGATTATTGAACACTTACAACACAATCTGAATTTGTATTTGCTTTCTAGCTCTGGAGAAAACAAATTGTCGTCAGTGGTGTACCTATGTAGGTGATTACTTGCCTGCTCCAGTGAGAATCTCAGGGGGAAAAAAGGATTAGGATGATACGAGTTTGAGCTGAGAGAAGCATTGCTCCTGTTCTGGATTTGTAGTTGGCCTCTTTTAATATAAGCTTTATTATATAGAGTGTTTTTCTGAGTGAGGTTGAATGTAGGTTTCTGTTGAGAGAGGGACTGCTTTTTCCTAGAAAAAGTAAATGGGGAGGAAATGTGGCAAAAGGAAATGACTGTATTTAAATAGAATTTAATCTGTTTATTCTTAGAGCAACAGGATGTTACTTTCTTCCCTCTGCTTTTTCAAGTCCAGGGCTCGGTAGCGTGCAATAAATTCTTGCATCACAACTACATGGACTGAAATATATGAAAAAAGAACACATCCTTTAACATAAGACTTGTGCTGGTGTTCCAGTACAAAGATTCCTAATGTTATTTATTTAACATTATTTCTAGTTGTATGAGTGACAGGAAAAGGGTTAGCCGAAAAAAAGAGTAGGCGGCTTAGGCACATCGGTGCTATAGGTATGTTACGGTATTACAGTTGAGCCTTTGTAGTGTGGATTAGATTTTGTGCAATTTTTTCAAAATGGGGAAACTCCAGGGGACTCCAGAACAATGGATACCAATGTGTAGAAGCCCAAGCATGGGAAGTTGGGTATATTTCTATTTTTATTCCTGTTTCACAGCCCATTTTATGTTTACAGTTGTGTTAAAGTGCTGGTATTTATCTCAAGGTGCTTTGGCATTTCTGAACTAAGTGTCCTACCAATAAGCAAATGATGGCGAGTGCAGCAGAGAATCAATCTATACGTGACAGGAGATGTGAAAACGAGCACTAGGACAGGGAACAGAGGACGATGGAAGCCTTACCTGTATCACCAGGTGGAACACGAGAACAGGCAAAACATCGGGGGGGGGGGGGGGGGCAATGAGGGAGGAACAATACTGTTTTCTCACTAAGGAACAAAATTTCCTAATAATTTGTCAGGCTCTGCCTTTTCAGGCTGAATTTCCTTACTACATCAAAGTGAATGCTGCTAACAGAGTAAATGTCTCTATTTAGAATGTAAATGAGAAAAATGTATGAATTACGGGACATTTAAAGAGTTGTGAGTGGCTGGGTGGACAGAGTTAGTCTGATTTTAAAAACTGACTTCGACGTAATTTGATAATAAGCAATAAGCTTAGTTTCTGATTCTCTGATAATTTGAAATGTAGCGACTTGTCATTAAAAGTGTGTGCTGCATTACACATGAAGCATCCCCGGTTCAGGTGTGTGTGGTGGGTGGGTGGGTGGGTTTGCACCCTGTCTTCCCCCGTTTCCTCCCCTCCTGCTGCGATAAGGGGGTGCCCTCGCTCCCTGGCAGACCACCGTGAGGGACGGCTGAAGTCACCCTTGCTCAGCACCGAATTATGCCGGCTTGAGGATGCTACCCTCTTCCAGAAAAGTGTGGCTGCTCTTCAGGGGATAGGAGAAGCACGTAACTAGAAGAAGTTATGTACCTCCTGCATTCCCTCCATATTCTTCTGCCTGGAGCAGAAATCTGTTTGAAAAACCTGTATTGGGCAATTTGCGGAAGCAAACACCTGGATGGCAATGCATTCTTGTCAAAGCAAAACCCAGAAAACATTTGCACAGATGTGGTTGACACAGGAGGTCATGATCTCATTTCATATGTCACCGCTTAATCTTAGTGGAGATAATTACATACATATGGCTGTCTAAACATGAAGTCAACAGGAAGGTATCCAGCTACATGTGGTAGTACAAGTAAATCAGATTTAACTGCAACAGCCAGCAGCTGAGGATATTAGGTGAATATCGGATGTTCCCTGAAGAAATTTATCTTTAAAAAAAGACAACAAATTTACATTTATTCATTTTTTTGTCTGTCTCAATGGACTGCTACCACTATGGATAAAACTCACGTTAGTATCTCATAATGGTCAAGTAATAACTGATACAGAATTTAGAATTACTTATTTATATCTGTATTTCAAAACACGACAGAATGAAAACTCTCTGTCCAGGAAAAGGTGTAACATATTGCCTAAACCATCTGTAGCGCTGCATTGATGTTGGCAAGTCATGGATGCTATATGGACGATCAGGTGTGGATCATTTGTTTTACTGGCGAGCAGTCTGGTAAGCATTTAACACTAGCTAAGGCTCTGCCCAGCTGCTGGCCCCAGCAGTGCAGTAGCTGTAGGTGCAGTAAAGCCCTAGAAGAGCGGCTGTTCTGTAGCACTCAGAACCAGTACAAAATGTCCCTGACGCTTTTGCCTTTTGTTCTGTTGACCCTAACTACCTTCCCCCCCCCCAGAAGGCCTCACCTTCTGGCTGCACCATTATCACATTTCTGTGTGAGTGCTTTAATAGCGGCTCATATCCACAGCAGTACAGCTACTTTTGGTATTATTGCTTCTGGGGAGTTAGTTGCCTGGGAAGCCCGTGGGGTATTTTTGCACGCTGCTGCCTTTGCAGCATGGAGACAAACCTGTTTGTTGGTTTGTTCCAAGCTGAGTGGCGGTTTCCTGTACGGCCATGAACAGACACCACAAACTGTCTTAATTTCCCAACCCGAAAACCAGAGGGTCAGCTCTCTCCTGCTCACTCCCCGTTGTCACGCTTTTAAACCATTTGTGACCAGGGACTGTTTTTTCTTCCTGTGTGCAGTACACTGCAGTTGAACTCTACAGTGGTGTACAAACCCAGCTTTGAACAGCCCCCCCCCAAGATTCATTACTAGGGTATTTTTTTAACGAGGTCACAAGTGGAGACCTGCGTGATCAACTTTCAGAAGGTCTTCTCTGAGCAAGGGCTTGCACTCTCTAGGTCCCGAGCCTCTGGTCTCTGAGAAGACCCAGACACCCCCCCCCCCACCCGAGCCCCCTGGGCTTCGAGGGACTTTTTGTCCCAGCCAGGCTCTGCGGGGGCTCACCTGCAGGTTTGAGAGTCGGCGACAGCGCAAGCCCTAGGGAAGCGCCCTCCCCTCGTGTTCATACGTGTTCTTGCAAACTGAGATTTCAGACAAGCGAGTGAAGACATACTTCAGTTTTATTGTTGTTTAGGCATGGATAGAAACATTAATTCTTTTGCGGTCTTGGTTCTTGAAACGTGCCTATAGTGAACTCGGAGCAGTGAAAAACCCGGCTCCCAGGACTGATGATTTAAAGTGCATAGGAGATCTAGCAGAATGCCAAAAGGTGAGGAGCTGTTATTCCTTTTTCATAGCTGTGGAAGTCGAAGGACTTTTTTTCTTCTCCTCTCCCCTGTATTCCCCAGACAGTGGTATGAAAATTTTCAGCCCTTCCCTATGCTTTCCCTTATGATCTTTGGAGGTTTCTTCTCTGTATTTAAGAACTATTTGTAGTGTTATAAACAAAGATAGGTGGTGTTTGCACACTCCTTCACAGCACTCTCTTGCAACTTTACCTGTTTAGAGTCACGCCCACTGTGGGTTTCTTTTTTTTTTTAAAAATGTGTATCACTTGGCAGTGTTCTCGCACCAAAAGAAAAAGATATATTTGTATATAAAGTAACTTTTTTGTGTGTTCACGTTTTATTTTGGAAAAACAGGTGTTTAAAAATTTTAGAATTTTTTTAACAAAATTCTAAAAAGAAAAAAATCACAATATTTACAGAGATAACAGAATGGCTTAGCCATGCAAAACAAATTACTTTGGTTTTTCCCCCATTTTACTTTGGTTTCAATATTGACCAAGATTATTATTATTTTTTTTCTTTTTGCCAAATAAAACAGTAACAAATCAAAGTTTAGAGGCATATAACAGGATTTCCCTCTAATATTTTATACAGCATAGAGTTTATAGGACATCTTATGTATTTAATCCATGCCAATGCACTACAGGAAGCTTTTATTAAGACATCAGTCACTACTGCCCAGACATTTAACATTTTACAAATTTACAAGTAACAGTGTTTTCTTCCCCCTAAATAATGCAAAAGTGGCAAAATACATTTCCTAACGTCCATCTTATTCTTTTATTTATTTATTTATTTATTTTTGCCTACCAGTCTATAAAAACTTACTTTTTCCCTGGATATTTGTAAATGGAAACCTGATGTTCTGCTTACTCTACTGTTCCTCTCCATCAAAGCTGCCTGTTACTTTCTTCCAGAAACTAACCAACCTGCATAAGTTGAAACTTCTCTCCCTTAAGTACAACTTTCTATTGGCCATTCACCCTAAAACATTTTCTTATCAGTACCATTCTAAAAATTCCCTCAAGCATTAAAACATGTTTATAAAGTTACAAACTTGAATGTAACTAAAGATACATAGACATTTCATTGTTACAATTATATGTACTGTTTGATAAATTAGGTACCAGTTAAAAACACTAAAATTATCTCAAGGTGCATTCAATATCTGTAGCATAGTTAACAAAAACACACAAAAAATATATATATTCTATTTTTGTGGAAAAAAAAATGCAGCTTTGATATGACCACTTTTTAAAAAAGTTTCCAATTCTGACTGGTATCTTTTTGAAATGAAGAAAAGGTACAGTACTTTAAGGCAGCGGATAACATAAAGGAATTAAAATTAATCCAGAATTCCAGTTCCTTATCCTAATTCTAACATGAAAGACGACTGATAATATATCAATAAAATGTGTGTCTTGCTCTAGAAGAAGATGATTATTAGCCACAGTCTACATAGGCTAGGAAATTTTCATTGTGTTCCTTGCTCAATACCCAGCTTCTCCGTGGAAACTCTTTATTCCCTTTCTGGCTGCTTAGCTTTGCATGGTTTTTTAAATGTTCACTTCTATTAACAATTTAGTTTATTCTTGTCACAGCTGTCACCCTTCCTCTTTAGTGTGATTTCAAAGAACGAGAAAGGAGTTTGACATTTTCCTTTAAGACAATCTTACACTCTAGGTACTTGCTACAAAGCAGAGGCTTCACTGATAACAATCAGAATTAGACATGTACCTGCTCAAAGGGTGTCATAAAAACAACTGAAATAAAACCATTACACTATACATCAGATTAACAGCAACTCCCAGAACAAAGCCTTACAGTGTATAAAAATAGCTACGTAAAAAATTTACATAAAGGCAAACAAAAAGAAATCTTCAGTGCAGACATTTACAAAAAAATATTTCAAACAGAACACAACATGGTGACCTATTATCATGGCTGTTGCCAAAATTAGTTTGTGGGTTTTTTTTAGCTTGAGATAATTGTGTCTAAAATCCTTTGAAAACTTGGTAGTATGATCTGTTTAATACTTGAACCATGAATAGCTGTCACTTCTTTGTATATGTTTAAATACAATCCACGTTCATGCTTCAATTCTATATGTATTCTCTGAAAGTATGAAAGACAAAGCCAGTTAAACATTTTAAAATATGTTAACCAACATAACTACTCAGTATCTAACCTTCAAATAAACAGCTACATGAATGGTACTTTCTTTCACGATAAGAATAGCTGCTGCAATATTGTTCTCAGTAAATCCAGTAAGTTTATCTGGTAAGTAATGGATTTATGTCCATTTCATTTATGTAGATCTACTGATCTGAAGAAATAAAAATAATGAGTAAAAGATTGCCCTGAAGGCACAGGATGTTATTGAACTCCTATGTTCAATAAAAACCCCCAGCTAACTTCAGCTCCATCTAACCACCTCAATATTGCAGAAGGTACCAGGTCCGGAAAAAAAATACAAAACAAGCCCTAACCAAAAAGATTAGAGAATATTCCCATAGAATTGCAGTAGAAATGCTGGCTATTTACACTGCAACTTTTTCAAAATCCAAATTTACTTATTTTCCACTTTTAAATAATGCATAGGGCATAATTCTTGGTATTCCCAATTCCCTTTTCCAAACTAGTAAAACAGTGATATTGCTAGCAAAGTGCATACAGCAATGCTACATCTCTTTATATACTATATAATCACTCTCTATAATTCAGTGAATGCTGAAAATTTAGTGCAAAAATAGTGCCTTGTACTTTAAAATTTCAGACAATACTAACATATTGAAATTATTAAGGAGAGCTGTCTTTATTTAAATAAGAAACATTTTATCTAAATGTGAAATGTCATAATTCCACTATAGGCTTTACAACCCTGCTGCCTCAAGTAGGTATCCAATGCTATTTACTTAAGACCACTGAAAATGAGGGCCGTCTACAGCTTTCCTGTTGAGGAACTCGCGACGCAGCGCCACTGAACACGTACTACTCTCATTTTTAAGAACAGCTGATGACTAACTTGGGAAACCTCTATATGGTTAGCTGGTTTCCACACTCTTGTGCTACCGCAGTGTTAATTTAAAATGGCCTTAGTTGGCCAGAAAAATGGTCTAAACCCCTACTTTGGGTACTAAGAGGAGAGATGCAGCAGTGGTGTATATACATGTGAACAGCGGGTGGTGCTGTTGGTGTTTTGTAGTGCTCCGGTAATTCCTAACAGAACTTCCGCATCTACCTAATGATTTGTATACAGTTTATTTTATACAGAGCCCAGCTGGGGAAACTTTCATACCTGTTACTAACTTAATATACAGTGTCTCTTTCCAGGATAAAATCGATAGTAGTATAAGTATGTGAAGACTTGAGTAAAAGAATGATTTTGTTCTAAGGAAAGTTTCATGCCTTTTGTGGTGATGACGAATAAAGCAAGCTGACCAAGGACTTAGAAACTATTGCTTTCAGTAAGGGAAGAAGGATCCTGTGAACATTTCAAGTCATAACTCAAAACATTCTAAACTATACCTAAACATACTCTTCATATACATACACATACACACACATGCGTATACCACAGCAATACATTATACTAATTTGTGTTTTCATTTCCCCACATATGTGGATTAAAATAAAGCCAAGTGCTAAGTTATGTCTAAATGTCAGGCTTTTTTAATATGTGCGTATGCAGGTATGAATTCTCCACTGGCTAGGGGCTTGAGTCTGTCTGTCCTAATACTACACCACTCGAAATCACTCCAGTGCCTAACCTCCGAAAGGTGAGCAACAGACTCCAAGCTACCACTGTGATCACTAGAGAGAAATGGTGGACAAAGAGGTGTTAAATGCTGCAATACGAAATGCTTACCTGGAATGATGACTGACACATTTTCTCTTAAGTTTCAGATTTGTGATTGTTTTCTTCTAGTTTTTTGTTTTCTTCTATATTTCCAAGATCTTTGTCTACGTGTTTTGATGCTGTCCTATAATGCAAAAATAAGGTCATTTTTACACGTCTACAGCATTTTCTTCCATCCTCAGATTAACACCACTGTCTCCTCCCCTCTCAGTGAAACAGAAAACTCTTACAGTTCTGTTCTGAGCAGAGCAATAGGCTTGCATATGTCTGTAAATAGGCCAATAGCACCAGTTCCCCCGCTGGTGTTAGTACCACAGGAAGTATTGCAGTAGGGCTGTGGATGTTTGATTTACTTCTTGAGGAAATCAGAATTATTCTGAGCTAGCAGATCCTTAGTAAGGTTGAACCAGTTGTGCAGATCCATGTTTCTTGACAAATTGTGTAGCTTGTTTCAATAAACAAGAGTTTGCTTTAAGGCGTACTAAAACGTTACAAGTGTGGCTAAGATATCTTGATCAACATAGCAATCTTTTGTGTACTTGTAGTAATTGACTTTCAGAGCCCGTGCCAAACGGAAGCTCTTCAAATGTGAAGAAATTAATGAAAATTCTGGCAACACCCAAAAAACCCCACTTGGGCTTCTAGATCTGTGCTAGCTATGACTGACAAGCTTCGGGTAAAGAAGAGATTGTGTAAATGTTTGAGGGGGGAAAAAAAGAGGTATGCCGCATTTAAAATAGCAGGTCTTCCTTAATGCAAGTAGTGGAGATGAATTAATGAGTTAAGTGCTTAGCTTAGCTTAGCACAATAAAACCACTACGCCATTCATTTAACGTGTGAGAAGCCTCGCGCTGTCTGCCAAGGTGAAAGATTCCTGCAGTGCTGCGATAACATTTTGAAGGCCGCAATTTTTAAAATGTAAATGGGCAAATGTATTTGAGTGGGACAAAGTAAATCCCTTGTGTCAAAGCAGATTATCGTATAGGCATTTTCTCTCCGGATAATTTGTTTTCCCTACAGAAGAGTAACGTCTGTTGTGACAGATTCATGCATATGCTCACCCTTGCTTCAGGGTAAAGACCCGTAGTGACACGGACTTGCAAAATACAATGAAGACACAGGTTAGCAAGATAGTGTGACATGTCACGCTGACACCATGCAGGTATGTACCTCCCAAGACCGCTGATCTGAATTTTTTGCTAGCGGAGTGTTTCTGCGCACATCCTCCATCTGAGCAAAGGCCGCTAGCAGTGGCTAAGCACTACGTGTGCCCTGAGTGGAAGTAGCCTTGAACAGTACTGTTAAGAGAGTACAGTTTAGTTCTTGTCCCAGAAGAGCTTCTGGTGGGATGCACACGCGCCCAACCCTCAGCACCTGTACAGGGGAGCGCTGCCGAAATGCTGCTCTCTGGGCTGGGGAGCCGCGTTGGAGATGGAGTGCCGGGGGGCACGGGCTTCTGGGCCCCAAATCCCACAGGTTACACTGAATGGGACCGTTCTAAAATCTTTTGGGGTTTAGAGTAGGTTATTTCCTGCGTGGCTCTAAGTTTTAATGCTTCAAAGCTGCATTTACCTTTTACTATTGGTTTTAGAGTGCCTCTGTTACGTTTGTGTGGCTGACAGGAAGGTGTCTGTGCTGAAAACCTACTTACTGCCAAGAGCTGAACTCCTGCTTATCGCAGGCAAATGTGATTTTTAAAATGCTGAGATTGTATCGCAAAAGTAACTTGTTCTACAGTGGTAAATTTCTATTGTGCAGTAACTTGCTACTTTTTTCTGGTATTCAAAACCTGAAACACATGATGTGCACAGGAGAAAAGGATGTGAGATGCAATGAAGAAGAAAATTCAGTGCTTTGGTAGAGATTGACCTTTTGCAATCTTAAGAACCTTTCACAAATATCTTTAATACTAGTAAAAAAGAAACAACCGCCCAAACAAATAAATCCTGTAAAAATTAAAAAACTTTTTTTTTTAAATTAAAAAAAAAATGTTTGGTTTAGGTAGAGCACAGGATTTGGCTTGTCACATGGCTATAATGACTCTTTTCCATGAATGTCTTACAAAATTGGAGACAGTAAGGAAAGAGATGAAAAGCTGAAAGAATCTGGACTTGAGCAAAATTACCTGAGCTGAAATGAGTTGGAGGCAAGAAAGCAGTATCATGCACATCTGCCCTCATGTAACCACTGACATCTGCTCTTGGAGACAAGAGAGTGGACTGGATAGACTATTGGCATGGCTCAGTGTGATCCTTTTTTTGGGCCTCTTATCAAGAGTTTTACAGTCGCCAAAGCAGATTGAATCTTACATGACCTGACACTTAACAGCAGAGGGAACTGTAACTAGCAGTACTGGTCTTTGATTAGGTTAAAATTATTCCATGACTAAACCTGGGAAATTCTGCGATGTGATCAGGTTTTGATTTTTAAAGTGTTCTATTTTAGTTCTGCATTCAGTGAAATTGTTTCCCTCACTAAATGTCACCTCTATTTTCCTAAAGCCAAAATGCGTGAAAATGGGAGATTTAAAAGGCAGCACTCTGACTTTGAAAGAGGCAGGTGATCCAGAACTCTTTTGGAGGATGGTATATACCGCTTGCTTGAAATGAGAGCAGCAGCAGTTTTTCACGTCTGACAATCAGACGGATTTAGATTCTCAGTGCCTGAGACTGAAATACAGCAGTTTAATTCTGGTGGTTCGGTGATCGTGCTGACTTTTTTTTGTTGTTGTTGTTCCCCAAATCCTGATCTCCAGGCAGATTCACCACCTCAGCACAAGCAATACTGCTGCCCTTTTTAGTGCTATCTAAATAGTGTTATCAAGAGACAGAAGAGTAATTTTGCACTGAGTTGCAGCAGTGTGATCCATTGGCAGTGCTCTGCCAACAGCAGAGGAACAGGCGACCCTGGCATGGCACCAATCCTCAGGGCTCGACAGACGTGGCCTGGGTTTGTAACAGAGAAATGGCTCAAAACGTGGTTTCCATCGCTTCCTGAGGTGACTTGAGGCACAGGACAAATGGTCCTTTGCCAGCTTAACATTCAACAACAGTTGTTCCTTACTTTGTTGTGCATTAACTCCTGTCAGCTTGCTCTATTTGGAACTCAAGAGCGACTTCCTGATGATATCTGAGCAGCTGGGCAACATGGTCCGAACGGACAGAAATATTCCTGACGATTTGCCAAGAAGGGCAAGACAGCCCACTTTGCCCTGGCCATCTCACACACTTCAACATTATCTACAGCTCCACAAACAATGCCCACACCTTAGCATGCTCTGGTCATGTTGTTCTGAAGAGTGAGAAGTTGGTTGTATGAATATGAGTTTACTTATGTCTCTCAACTGTTTTTTTTTTTAAATTCATTTGTAAAACATGGCTCATTCTGAGCTCTTGCTACAATTACGACTCGTATTTTACATTTATCTATGCTTGCTCTTCAGGAAAATAATTATCCTCAGGGAATCCTAATCAAAATCTCTCTGTAAGTAGTACCAAAGTGAGATTTTTAGTTTTCTTTGGAGTGTGCTTGTGTGCTGAGGGGCTGTTGTTTTCATGGATTTTGTTTAGATACTGCTCATAGCATTGTTTTTAATATAAAGACCATTTTCCACCTCGATTGTTTTGCCTGCTGTAGTGTAAACACAGACTGCATATCGATGACCCAGAAATTGTGGTTGGGTTTTAATTCCTGATTTCTTTTAATCTCACAAGTCTAGGCCTTACCCTCAACGCTATTTAAGGAAGGAAAGCCGCCGTGCTCTTTGTCCTTGTTACCCGGGCTTGCGATAGTGATTGACAGGTAAGAGAAAACACATTGGTGTAGTTCTGGGTGCGGAGGCAAGAGCCACGAATTTCACTGAAGCTTCCATTACTTTTGAAAGGCATGTTAGACACTAAACTGCACTGTTGCAAAAGATTTTCTAGGAGCTAACAGTCTTATACATCCAAATCTGGATTATCTGCAACCTCTTTCTATTTACCCCAATGTTGCATTCCACTTCCTCCAATTATTTTCAAATGTCCATCAGTAGGAAAAAAGGCAGAGATACCAGAAAAATATTCCAGTCATCAAGAAATGAGTGACTATTTTTAAATTTGTGCCGCTTTTATAGAAGATTTGTGAGATGAACTGACACTTTCAGAGATACTTGAAACTTTGTCTTCTCTCTGGAAGGGAGTTGCATGAAAAACAATACAAATGCTGAGTCTTGTTCAAAACATACAGCAAGTGTCCTACATACTTGTCCTGCCACATTTGGATTCATATGCTTATTTCTCATAAAGTATCAGAAAAGCAGAATTGTTATGCTTCAAGTGTTCAGTTTCAGAGATACTAGTAACATTCTTGATTACTGTGACCTAAGAAGAATTTCAAGAGTTTGGTGTGCTCTGAGTATGAACAATCTTAAGACTGCTGCTGTGCTTCAATTTGCCCAGCTGAGTTTTCGTTCACTGCATTTTAAACCACTTTAACCTTGATCTAGCCTCATGTGACTTGAGATTTGTGCACCTCCAAACCCAAGAAGCAAAAATGGGACAAAACTTCCATCCCTAGAGAACAGGGACACAGGGTGCTGGGTGCATTATTTTCTTTCTAAACCTTTAATTTCTGCTGTACTCTCAGCTGTTTCTGGCAAGGGGAAAATTTCATCTATGAAGGATTTACTGAGGATGGGTGTCCTAGAATCACTCAACTGAGGTCTGACAGAAAAATTTTAGAAATATTCTGATGTGCTAAGTTATATTCTGTTTGGTGCAAATTAGTTTAAAAATATCCTTTTTGGAAAAAGGAGAAAGCGGTAGAAAACAAGTCTTTGGCCTTCTGCTCAGATGAAGGAGAAACATGGCATGCTGGGGTAGGTAGCCTCAACTCTTTATTCAAGAGGGGCTTGTTGCGGGATGTGGAATACAGATGAGTCCCTGATTTATGGGCTAATATTCATAGTGAAAAGAATATGTGGCAGTAATCAGCTTTTGCATCAAGTGGAGCTGAGGCAGTGAATAACTATGTAAGTGACTTATTGTGAATATATTCCAAGGCTACAAATATAATTCCTACTTAGTGTGGATGACAAGACAATAGAAGATTATACAAACCACAACACCAATAATGAAAAAAAGTAATGTTTTTCTTGCCTCGGCAGACTTGGAAAGTTCTGTGCTGCTGCCTTCTCAGACTTTCCTTTGGCGTCACTTTGGGGATAGAGATTAGGTGAGTTACTGTTCAAGGGTGGGTTCAAAAAATAACTACTAACTGTTGGCCTGTATGGAGATGGAGGGGTTGTGATTAGACACAGGTTGTGTCTCAAGGTGTAAGGTGCTTTTTGCGAGGTTTACTTTGATTTCTAGGCTATAATTCGTAATGAAAACTTTGTCAGAATGAGTACTGACACTCTGCTTGCTCTTGCAACTATGGCATGCAGAAAGCAGGGAGGATAACAACAGATCAACTTAAATATATGCTGAGAACAGAAGAGTGTCAGTGATGATGCATCAGTTAAGGGTTTCAGAGGCCAGCAACCATGTATCAAATATGGAGACTATTATTTAACTATAAAGGGATTTTTATTTTGTTCCCAGTGAACCTGTCTAATCAATTCTAGCTCTAATTTTTACTCTAAGCTTGTAGAAGAGAAGTTGAGCATAAGGAAAAGAAGTGCTGTCCATTTAGAATATGCTGTATCCTATCTTTGAAGCTGAAAAAGTTATCTTAAGTAAGCAAAGGACATGCTATATATTCTATGATTCTTCTTAGCTCCCCCCATGCTACATAATGGTACAAAAAAAGATACTTTACCTTCTCTGCCCTCCTTATACCCAAACCACCTCTTCCAAAAAAACTCAAACCAGTGAACCACATTTTCATGATTCCACATTCTCATATTCAAAAAGGAGAGACAAAAGAAAATTATTCTAGACATTATTATACTAGTAGCAAAGTGTGGGAAGAAGAGCTCAACTTTATTATGACTTTTTAATTTCTACCAGAAAAAGCATAAGCTTTGCAAAAAATATTTTTTTTTTCCCTGTTTAATATTTGAATGTGGTTCTGTGCTTGGGTAATTTATAGCAATTCTTTATTTGAAAAACTTCCAAAACCTACTCAGTTATGGCTGTAGTAAAATCCTTATGTATTATCCAAAAAAGAGTATTTTCAAGCAGATGGAGAATTCCTTGTTGTACTTTCACATCAGTGAAAACACATTTGTTCATAGTAAAAGCCCACTGGTATATTTTAGATCTCATTTGATCTAATTTTAATGAAAGGTCACAGAAAGAACAACTGAACTTTAAGATTGCTTCTATAGCTGTACCGATTTGTGCATGTTATGCACCTTAATCTTCCCTGTTAAGAAGCAGCGTAAGGAACCCTTCAGAGAGCAAGCCTGCCCTCAGGTCTCCCTGGAGGCAAATGTGTAAGGCCAAATGACATACATTCGTGGCCATCTTTAAAAGAATGGAGAAACATGGTTACTTTTTGAGATCCTGTTTATTTTCTAAAAGTGAGCCTGTGTGATAGTGAAGAAACTTGAAAGCAAGCAGGCCTCACTGGTAAATCCTGTTCTATGCCTTGGATGGCTAAAACATATTAACTTGGATGATAGCTTCTAGATTTTTAGCAACACAAGGTCTATCTTTACCGACTTTTTCAGAGATCTCAGAGTACATATGAACAAATGAATTAAGGATCTCTCTTCTCCCTGAGATGGTTTAGACTTATTCTGTAATTTATTCCTTTTTTAAAGCAAACGAGCTACCCAACTTCTAAATGAAGACAGTTTCTAGTACCAGTAAAGCCACACAGAGGTAACATCCCACCATTAAGTAGCAGGTACTATATTTAAATGCAAGAATCGGCACAGACTTGGCTGTCAGGACAGAGAACCTCATTACAAGTGATGATCTATGAAAAGTCTTGGAACACCACCTCCAGGAGATGAGTCCTGTTAAGCATTAGGACAAGCTGATCAGAAGTACCAAGTTTCCTTTCTCTGTTAAATGCACATACTGTAACAACTTTTCCCTACTCAGGCTACTGGAATGCTGCAGGAAGGAAAACAGGTAAACATACATTTCTGCTTATCATTATTCTTTTTTCTATTTAGTATCAAGTTTTCCATAAATTCTTACTTTGATTTCTTCACATAGAGCCAGTAGACAACACCTGCAACCAGAGCAGCCAGCAGAAGACCGACTACAATCCCCACTATTAGCTTTGCCTGGTCATTAACCTTTTCGCTATTGTCATCTGAAGCAAAGAAGAAAAGTTAATGAGGTGACCTATGATAAAGAATTTCCGTCAGAAACAAGAAAAGGGGTCAGAAAGTCAAAATTTAAAAAAAGTAGGCGTTGTTCTTAAAAACACATTTAAAGCTTCAAGAAAGTCACATTCTTAGTCAATCACGGCACCAGCTATTTCAAATCAAGTCCAAATTTGACGGACTGTGGAAATTGTTCAGTGACACAAAATAGGTCTTGAACTGTGACAATCAACAGAGAGTTATGGAGATAGAAAACCATACATACCATTTCTATCCTCTGGCTCATCGTATTCTGGAATACTTACTGAAACAAATAATGTTAAAATTAAATTAAAATGTGTTACACCTGAATATCACCTTTAACTGCCTGTTTACGGCAATGACAGAAACACTGAAACTTAATGCAGTGTTTGCCAAACAACAAGGCAACTAATCTTATCTTTAAGCAGAAGTATTTCCTTTGTAACTATAATATATCAAATTGAAGAATCTTATTCAAAACCTGTAATATTAATCTCAGAAATATTTCTGACTCAGTATTTCTGTGCTTCTCTTCCACAAACTGTAGCTCCTCACCACCTTTTGTCACTGAAAAGTGATGTTTGATTAAAGCCCAGTATGGCTGATTTCTGCTCTGAGTCAAGTCATACCAGTAATAATAAACTGGAATTTGGGGGACTAAAAGATGATGTTAATTTAGTAATAAATTCTTTTGTCTCATAACTAATGTATTATTTTGCAATATTTTTGTACTATCATGTTGTAATGTTATTTTGTAATATTATTTACTTTTGTAAATAACATATTGCATACATGAGATAACTAGCCTAGAGAGTCATGAAGACTAAGTGACTTTATCCAGAAAGCCATCAATGTACTACTGATCCAGAGTGGATTTACAATTGCTTGACTTAAGACAAAAAGGTTAAATATCTTAGTATCAACGTTACTGTGCAGACCTACTCTTCATATGAATGTGAAGCATGGGTACTTTATATGACACTATAAGGAAATGGTCTTCAGAAGACACTCACTAGCAGAGACGTTCAGGGAGGTCACAGTCCTTTCTAGCTGATTTTCTGCAATGCAAGTTAAAGTCACATTTTCCTCAGGAGCAATTACAATTTTACTGGAAAATTTTCCATTAACATATTTGGTCTCCTCTGTCTGAAAAGGTAAAAAAATGAAGATTAGTATCCTTGAAAAATACAAAGAACAATACATGCATTACCTGTATTACACATTGAAAATGTTCAGAGGGAAATAACTTTCAACTAATATTTCAATTTTAGCAACAGAAATAATGGATTATTTTATTAAATGGTAATGTGAATATTTGCAAAAACCCACTTTGGCCAAGATATCCAGTTATAGCTACATTTAGTGTGCACTGTAAGCTCACTGATAAAGAGGCATTTTTGAGACAGTTAACCACATTCTGTATTTGCTTTTGTTTCTTCTGACTATTTAAAAAATATTCCCAGTGACAAAATTCTTAAAGAAAAACCCAAAACCAAACTCCTAAGGTCTCATTTTTTTCCATCTCGCTGTTTTTCATTTATGTCTTTATAATGAAAATAATCACTGTAAGTTTCCCACTTTCTAGCTTTCCAAGTTGTTTCTACACTAAGCATTATTTTGCCAAGCTACATGTATTTACTAATACCTGCAGTATCTGTAATAAGTGACGTGAAGTTGTTCCTTAAATTTGCTGTACATCATTCTTAGATTAATACAATGTCCAGAGAAAATTATTTTCAATCATTTGTATGGCTTCAAGACAATTCCTGCCCTGTAGCTTCAAGTAAATGGACAAATTTTGACAGCTATACATCATTTCTGTAGGATTGAAGCAAAACCTAATGGAGTAATGAAATCTACAGGAGCACTGTGCACTGTACTTCCAGGCTCTGACTGCTTGTGTAGATGTCTCATTTATTTTTCCTGCCAAGGCAAAATGTGGCAATGCTTTGCATGTGATTTGGTAACCAATATGAAAATACTTCAGTTTGCTTATTTTCCAGGTATTTTTCCTGCTGCATATCGGTACTCTATATTTCTCCCCAAGGATGATTGCATTATGGTTCTGTTTCCAGTGAGAAACAACAGGTATAACCATACAAAAACAACTATAAAAATCAGGATAAAACCTGCAAAGCCCATAAGGAACTATATTGACTGGATTTTCTGACTTGTACTTGCCACATTTCATTACATTTCACCCAGTTAATGCCTATATTGAGTACTCATTTGCTTTCTAATGTAAGTTCTATAGTTCCATCATTATTTATAAATTCTTTATGCAATGGCAAAATCACCACATTATCCAGATAAAACAACTAAGTACTTTCACTTAAAAATGCATATTTCATTTGTAACCTTTTCTTTTTCTTTCCAGCTTCGTCTTGTAGCCAGCAGATCTTCCCTGCTATCGCCTGCTCTACTCAAAAGACCTTTATCATCAGAAATCATCCATGAAAGTACCACGTAGCTACAGCTACCACTTAACCTTCTCTTCGATAAACGAAATACACTTAGTTTCTTCAATCTCAGTACCTGGAAAATGTTCCTTGATTTTAAATTGTACCTCCTATGTACTATCTGTTAGTGAATAAAGTAATAAGAAATATACTTGCCTTATTTATGATGCTTCCACTACCAGTAACTGTCCATTGCACTGCTGGTTTGGGGAAACCTTCCACATGGCAGACAATGGTTTTAGACATTTTGTTTGTGTTGGTTTTCTTTGTCATTTTGATTTGAGGTTTTCCTACAAGAACAATATTACAGTAAACCATTTTGTTTGAAAAGGACAATTAATAATCATAGCTACCTGCTCCCTTACCTTCCACAATAAGTTTAAGCGTCTTTCTTTTCTTTAACCCTTCAACCTCCTGTAGAGTAGTTTCGCAGATGTAGTTTCCAGCATCTTGATACTGAAGACTTGAAAATGATGGACTTGTTTGCATTCGGGTATTGTCCTGATAAAGTAAGGAGTTAATCTCTGTGAATTCTAACTCAGAATACATTAACCTCTAAGTTACAAATGTGACTACTATCAATAGAATTTTTCTCATGCTTTGGTAGATTAGAGCCTTACTCTTAAAGTGTTCCCCCATTAATAAATAACTACATTTGAGTAGCTGACAGCAACATAAGAGCATGAAAAGTGGAAACTACTGGGGATTTATAAAAGCCACCTCCCTTCTTGAACAACTTTGCTTTCAAATCAAGGGCATAGATGGGATCAATTACTAGTTCTGAGCTTTTCTAGTAGGCTGGCCAAAACCAATAGTGGTACAAACCGTTTGAGACACAGACAACTCTTCTCTAGGCCAGGCTTATGAAATCAACATATGCTACTAAACAACCATCAGGTAATGATTATTTTTAGTTTCCAGCAGTATGGGTTTAATTTAAACCCACCATCTATGATAGCTCCCTTTTTCACCAGCCACTGACCATCAGTTGCTATAACATCTAATCTCTCAACCTGCTTTGCCCTTTTATTACATTTATTGGAACCAGGACCAAGCTTGCCCCTGAGAAAACAATTATTAATGAATCCAAATTCCTCCAAATGAGCTTTCCTTCTTAGAGGGACCTGATTCTCAAAGGGCCTTGTATAGACCATTTCAAAAAAGTCGTATTTGTGTTACAGTAGACATTACTGCTCTCCATTTGAAAACTGAGCCAATAATTACAGTAACTGATTTTCAGTCATCAGCTTGAGTCAGTAGCTCTCATTTTAGCCATATGTGTAAGACCCATTTTAACAATATTCTTTAAAAAGCCCAATGAATGGCTTCCTTCCAAAACTCTGAAGTAGCAGCAGTGATATGAAGAGGTGAACACTCAGATGAAGTGTGAAGTAGATGCATTACTGACCTTTATCCAAAACACAGTTGCATTTCTACTAGACGAAATCGTGCACGACACAGGCAGGGCCTCTCCAATCTGTTTTGTGACTTCTCCGCTAGGAGTAAGCTGCAAATCCAAATCTGGGATAGAAAGAACATTTGTCAGAAGCTAATCTCAAAAAGCCTGGCCTATTTCAAAGGCTTACCAAGGAAAGAAAATGTGACTAATTGCACTCATTAAATTCAAGATTTCATTTCTTCAATAAAATCTAAGTCAATTTTACAAGTGAGGGAGAAGAGAGAATTATTCTAAAATAGGCATTGCAGAACATTCACGTTTTTGCTGTAATTATAGGCTAAAAGGAAAAGCAAAAACTCACTAAACACTAGACAAATAGATACATTTTTTTCACCTTGTACTGCTGAAGGAATGACAGAGGAGGTACAAGAAGCTGAAGGAGTACTTCACATAGCGGTATGTGCCTCTTGAAAGGGGAAGCACAGACTGCTGTGAGGGTAGCTTGCTACGGCCCAGGCAGAAATGTTATCTTCAGGGGAGGACTCATGCAGGTGAGGACAGATCAACCTAAATAGTAAGTTAAGTGTGGAGAAGAGGATTGGAGGACAAGGGGTAACTTTCTCAAATCTGGTAAAATAAGTTGATTTTTATCCTCAGCATCTGGAGAGGATGAGGATGGTAAATACAGGGTGCAAGAGACATGATACAGACTGAAGGGGTGAGGAGTCTGAATTACAGGGGTGGGGGGGGGCCGCACATGAGGCCCTTTGATTTATTTGTTTTCATTTGTAACTTAAAAAGCCTTTTTTGTGTAACTCTGAGTCCAAGCTTTGCCTGACTTGTTTCAGCTCTGGGGAAACTGCAGTCAGTGATAGCTGTGTTCGACGCAAGGCAAGGTGAGAGCCAGTAAAAGAAAGATCAGGAAACACTGCTCTAGATTTTTCTTAGTATATGGATTTGGCAGGCTAGTGATTTCTTTTTCAAAAAAAAAAAAAAAATCCTACACTGGAAAAAAAGCAGTTTGCCAAGCTAAACCTCTATGTTGCTTCCCCTCTCAGTGCCTTGCTTGTAAGCCAAGTTGTCTGGTCAAATGACTTATCACAGATGTGTGCGCACGCACACTCTCTCAAATGGCAAGCACACATGATTTCATCATGAATATAGTACTTGCTGGAAGACGACTGCAAAACATCCTTTTGGCTTTTAAGCAGAGTTTAAAAAAAAAGCTGGAGGCAAAATCACAGTTGGTAGAGGAAAGGGAAAACAGTGAATTTAGCTACTGGCTTCATTCAGTGGTTGCCCTGGGAACACCACTGCAATTAAAGGCCAAACTTCAGGGTCCATTCTGTACTATTAGGCTCTGTTATGAATCTAATGCCTAGTCCGAGAGGTCACAAGAACTGTACTTTCATCTGTGCATGAGTAAAGCAAAGATCTTACTGAAGAGATAAAATGGCATTGTGTTTCTGTATTCCTATGGGGATTTCTCCCCCTGCCTCCCCAAACTAGTAAGTGCAGCCAAACTAACAAGATTCTCCAGATCTTACCATTGCTTCCACAAGAAAAAAAAAAAAGAAATAATAAAAAGGACAAGTTTCAGCCAGTGAGCATTTATATAGAGATTTGGATGTTGTACGGGATGTGTTTCTTCTTGCTCTGTTACTCTTGAGCACATACTACCAAGGCAGAGGGGTGGTTGAAGAAAAAGCTAAGATTTTTTTTTTCCCCCCCTCAAGGTGACTTTCCTTCAACATGTACTTAAACCTTTTGGTTTTTGAAGCAAGACAGCACCTCAAACCCAAGACATCACTGAAGACCATACAGGAGGGATTCCTCTCACATACGCCACAGGAAGCAGAAACTCATTAAATTTTTGGCCTTCATCTCAGACAAGACTGACAGTGAGCCCAGAGCAATCCTTCAACCCAGTCTTCCTCCAGGGTAGCATGCCTGCACCCTCCCCCCTTTTTGTGGTATAACTGAGACTACAATCCCTCTCACACAGTGGTCTTGGTTGCTATAGAAGTTCGGGAAAATTTACAGTGTGTGAGATGAACTGCATAGCTCAGAGGAGTATTTGTAAGGTGATTTACAAGCAAGTACAGAATTAAGCTACCGTTTAACATAGGATCCCCTCTTGAAACTCTACATAGAGCAACTTGATTTGGATTAATATTCTGCCAGTTTATCTGTAGGGTCCACAAAGAAATGCGATGTAGATACTTTTACCTTTCAACTGATGTCCTCCATTAGTAAATAATCTCTGCTTAGTATCAAGTATGAGGAGAAAATATTTCTTGCATACAGAAGAGTGTCAAAATTAATTTTCTTTGCCACTGAAAGAAAAACTTTGTTGCAGGTATTTTCCATATGTTTCCTGTTTGGCTTTGAAATGTTCTTCATAAACAAACTTCTCATGAGGCACCATTTTCAATATATGGTAGCTCTTCATGTGGTCTCACTTGAAGTCTTGCGTTGATTTCAGTGCTGTCTTTGCATACCAAGTGGCACAGGGAAGAGACTAAGCGTTCTGCATGTATTGCCACATCATGTGAGAGAGGTATGGAATTAATTTGGGGAAGATTGGAGCAAACATTTCCGTTGTGAAAGTATTGCACATAGAGGAGAGGCTCCCAGCATTTAAAGGAGGTCTCCGATGGAAAACTGTGCTACAACTGGGAAAACTATGCACAGCATTTGCCTGTAGTCTGAACTCCCCAAGTATTCTAGCAGACAACCAGAAACTTCTCCTAGTATACTGAGAATAGATTTTTTCCATGCAACATTCAAAAGGTGATCTCACCTGTATTTCCAATGAGACTGTAGCACAAGAAAAGACTATAAAAAATACCTATGGAGAAACACAAATGCTAAATTTCTACAACCTTTCATTTACTGGAAGGTTTGCAAACCTATTTCCCCAGAAAACACATCCTAGCAGAAAGCAATGCATCACTAAGAAGAAGTTCCACAGCCCTACTCCATACTGGGTTTTACATGCAGAAACAATTCTAGCAAGAGAGAAAGAAAAGGAACTGTGGGCTGAAACAGTCACCTGCTTCTTCCTAGCTGAGGGAAGGTACGCGTGTCCTCTACTGCCAGGGGCTTTCCCTGCCCCGCACAGGGCATGCTTCTGTAGCCGTGTAAGTGGTCGCAAACAAGTTTTGCCCCAGCCCCCTTCTTTTTCCTTCCTAGCCTCTGCCAGTTTTGCTCATCTGATCCTGGGCAAACTCACTCAAGGAACAGAGCTGGCAAAAAATTAACAACGTAGTGTAAAAAAACCCAAGCGTACAACACAAATCCTGTTCTGTTGCTCCCTCTGTTGAGGGACAAATCACGCCAACCGCAAGCACTCTGTTCTGCTGGACTTTAAACTAGGACCTTGCTGCACAGATCCTGCACCTGCTCTGAGGGGCAAGAGCTCAGGTTGTCCAGTTTGTCCCTTATGTTCTGTTGGTAAGGAAGGGACTCTTTCTCCCCCCCTCAATTTGCTTTATAAATAAAGTATTTCCCTAAACTTTATGGGTAACTCGGATGCTTTAATGTCAATTTTCAGCTTTCTGTGAATCTCATAATTTACATTCATCTTGGAAAAAAAGAGCTTGGTATTGAGCCAGAATATTTTGCTACAAAAATATTTAAGGGGTATAACATGCTAATGTATTTTCATACCAGCAAGAAGCTTTCCCTACCTAGACACTGAAAGGACCCAGTGTAATTACAATGCTCAATAAAATCTGTTTGGGAAAAAGCACTACAGTTGAAAAGTAATAAATTACTATAAATAGTTTCTCAGATTTAAACTAAAATTATTATATTGCCTGTTTTTTTGGTTTTGTTTGTTTGTTTTAAGTGAAAATAAAAAAATCTAAAGCACCAAGATCAGATGTGAGGAAACAAAAAGCCTTGACTCAGAATGAAGGCTTTTTCAGTGTAACAGCATAGAGAGGAATATTCATCCATATGTGAAAAGATAAGCAATAAACCAAAAGAGGGAGAAAAAGTAGAATTTGATAGGCATTAACAAGTATTATTTGAGGACAAAAAACATCATGGAGGCATAAAAAATCTGAAGATCTAACACCGAAAATATGTAAGTGCATTAGAAGGAGAAAGCAGTAAAAATTACTGAGTTATGCTGGAAAATTAATATAAAGTAAGCAAGTGAAAGATGAAGGAGGTTTTTATAAAGCATCTACAAGTTTCATGACTTTTTCAGAGGAGTTCTCCTCACAAGAAAACATGCTGCAGAAAGTCTTTAGACCAGCATAAGGCAAGACACCAAAGTAGCTTAAAGACAAGGTATGGTCTGGGCATTCAGGAATTACAGAACTCCTCCGGGCCACTGCGCCTCACTTAAGCAAAGGCTTTATTGCAGATACAGGTTTTTAAGAAAAACAAAACAAAACAAAATGAACCCTAAGTGAAGCAAAGCAGTAGGGTACTAGATTGTACCTATGAGTTCTGAATAGCTGTGCTAGCTGCCAACACTGGAAAGACTTCTGTCAAGAAAATATGTGCTTTTCTCATGTAGTAAAGCTCTTCTGACATGCAGACAAAATAGCAGAGAAAGGAAAACTGGCTTGTTATAAATAACTTGGAGCTGAGGAAGCCATTCTTTAGAGTAACTATTTATCGAAGTAGAAGTAGACATGCAATCCACTTGGAGTAAAATAGAACGGTCAGTTTTACCACAGCAAACCACCTTTATATTGGGCAGCTAGCGGCAGTAGTACAGAGCTCTCTTCAGATCTTACATACCCTGACTCTTGGCAAAGAGAAGGGGCGGGTGGGAAAACAGCAGATGACCTTACTAAATGCAAAATATTCATTAAAAGGAATACTGTAATTATTCATGTACAGATATATTCTGCATGCATTGTACCTCTTCCAAGAAAAAAAAAAATCAAAACCAAGTATACAAACATGAAGTTTCTTTCTATATAAAGTATAACTACTTTAAACTTCATTATCCATCATGCCCCTCTGAACCTGTAAACTATTAAAGGTATTTATGCTACTGGGAAGACTACAGACCATCGGTATTTTTAGGGGAAACCTAGTACCATCGGCCTGAGTCTCATTTCACAGCCTGTGATAGAATAGCAAAGTTTGAAAAGAGTTCCTGCTCTTGTTTTCTCACATAAAGTGATTAAAAGCAACCATTGAAAAGCAACCATTGCTTCAATGGTTCAACCAGTTCAATGGCTGCTTTTAAAGTGGTGCTGATAAAGTGTGAGTAAATACTCTAGTATCCAGCTAAAGAAACTTTACTGAGCTCTCTAGCTCTCATGATTCTGGGAAAAGTGAAAAAAGCAACTTGTCCTATGTGAACATAATGAATTGCTAAGTCTCATCTCTAGACTCCTCACACGTTAACCTCATTAAGAGAAGATGAAAAGATATCAGACTAATGTGAATTTGACTATGAAGAATGACCTTCAGTGATACCACTGTGAGCTAGCTTGTGTGTTTGAGTACCTTCTAAGGTACAGCTGGAGTAGAATAATTTGCCATATGTAAGTTCACATGAGTGAAACATAAAATACCAGAATTTTCACTGTATGTGACAGTGCAACAATATCATACACTATACAAAGGTTACATGAAGTGAATCTGTATCTAAGCCAATGAATTGAGAAAGTTAAGGTTTTCAAACAGAAATACATTAGAAAAAATAAAAATGACCTGACACTACTTCAAACCAACCACATCATTCAGTTCTCCTGTAGGTTAACTGGACTAATCTACCTAAGTAAAGCAGAGAGAGAGACCATCCCAGAAGGTCCAAGATAGGCTTGTATCCTAACTAGCAGTACGAAATGCAATGACTTACAGTGCACAGTGATGGTGGTCGAGTCCATCATGCTTTTGTCAGTCAGAGAGCACTTGTATTCTCCTGTTGCATTTCGTCTCACATCTGTCATTACGTAAGTGTCTGAACTTCTTATACCTTCTGTTTCTCCCTGTGGATGGAAAACAAAACACTTACTGTGTATAGGCCTGCTAAGAAAATCAATTTTTGTGCGGATTTTTTTTATTATAAGGATGGTAAAATACTCCAAAATATGTATAGACACAGCATCATTGAAGTGTAGTTACCTAGTAATAATACTAATTTCCTGCATGACACCATAGTTTTAAAAGACACCTACAATTAAGAGCTTACTCTTTTAATTGAATGACTAACTTATTTTAAGAGGACATTAAAATACAAAATTTGAAAGTTTAGCAGAAAGAAAAAGGGGAGAAAACAAAAGACTGAAACTGACTATGAATAAGAGTGTTGCAGAAATCACAACAGCAAAACAAAATGTGTTTCTAAATCTGTATCTGAAATAATATATTCAGTTGAGGAGAAATCATGAAATAAACTGTGCTGCATTACACGTTTTTAAACAGCACAAGCAAGCCTTGCTCTAGCCACATCATGGTATGGAGCCTATTAGGGCATACACTACCTTATATGCAGTTATCTACAGAAACTGGTGTTTTGAATTAGCCAGCAAGTGTTGCTTTCTGGCTGTCCAGTTCCCCAGTTTCCCTGATTACAACTGACTGACTTAGATCAACTTTGAAACAAGCACAGAATGAAACCCTTACTTGAATCTCTGAATCCAGAAAGAGATTTATGCTACCCATGAGTCTTGCAAAGAAATCACCAATTCCAGCTCTCCTTGAGAGGAAGGACTAGTATCAGGTAGCAGGGAGACTGAAGATAAGGCAAACTTGGGTGTTTAGCTCGCTCACTCTGATAGTGGAGCAAGGAGAGATACCATGCACTTTTTCCCTGGCATATAGTGAGTTCCTAGGATGACTCACTGAATCTAAATGGCTATTCTGAGATAAGAGGACTTCAGCTCCTGGTTTCCCTTGCTGCTCTTCAGCAATTCAAAGATGCCAGGAGTCCAAAATAGATGAGGATTATGTTCAAAGGGCAACATGCAGTTTTTTGAAATACCTGAGAGAGGCCAAAAGCAGTGGCATGCTTTCAAGATCAGCTCTGCTCACTACTGCAGTAGGAACAAAAAAAAGGATATAAAATAGGAGAGAGAAGCAGGACACGGGAAGCAGGACTAGGAATCTTAGAATATAAAGCCACATCTGTCTGTGGATTTCACCAATACTAAGCAGGTTAATGGTACCAAAGCCATTTTTCTCAAACTGCATCTTATGCATTTGACAGATTCGTTCTACACTTTCTCCTGTGCTGTCACACTTGTTCTTTTTTATGTTGTTATGCCACCAAACAATTAATTAATTAACTAAAGAAAAGAAATTGCACAAAGATTCATCTGTGAAAGTCCAAAAAAATAGCTGAATTAATTTCCTGTACTTTCACTGCTGGATCTTTGTCTGTTATGACAACAGATGAGATGGTTTTATTCAAGATGCTAAACTGCTTTAGTCAAAACTGCTTCTTATCTTCTTATCAAAATATCTGATGACGGGAAATGAAGCCTGGCAATTTTTAGTAGGTCCAAACCCCCAAAAACTTCGGGTGGGGCGGGGGGAAGGAGAGGTTATTTCAAAATATTTTGCCAACTCAGGTGAGGTGTTCTCAGAGTCTGATGTAATGGCTGATGTCTATCTTCAGTTTTAGTCACATTGGATTCCTTCCTTCATTTGTTATAAAATCACGTATACACTGACATGTAGCAATGTCTGTAGGAAGGGATGATACAGAATATTTCACTACACAGTGACAGTGAGGCAGGACTTACTGGAATGTAAAACAGGAACTCCTGTGGAGGAGGGTTGCCATTTCCTGAGCACTTCAGAGTGATGTTATCGCCTTCTTTAATGGTACTACTTTGTGACAGCACTTGAATAGTCACCTTCTCTGTTGGATCTGTGAAAATAATGTACACATTTAACGGCTTCTGCAAAAAGACACACAGTAACACTATGCATATGATTGATATTCATGGCCGAAGAGTACACGATTTTATCATCAAGCAGGTGAAGGTACTCGCTTGTGTAGATCTTTTTATAAAAGAACTGAAATTAATCTCACATTCTGTATTTTTGCCAATGAAGTAAGTGCAAAGAAGGCAGATGATATAAAATTCATTTTTCTTCACAAAAAACCCTGTAACTGAAACAGCAATGATTACAACCATGTTATGTGCTTAAAAGAAAAAAACCCTGATCAGTATGAACAGTTTCATGGTGTGATTTCATTATGAGAGATTAACTTGTTCTCTGTGAAGCTCACTGTTCGGAGGACTGCAGCAATCAGAAAAACAACTGAAGCTCTCAACGCCTTGCATTAGTACTAAATAATAGCCTTCTTGCATTAAAAAGAAAGAAATATGAACTAAGCGACTATGTTCAGCCTATTCTATATGCTGATCACTACAGGCTTTCAGAAAGATGAATTTGGTGAACATAATAGGACCCTTAACATAGTCAACAGAACTGTAAATGTAACATACTTCTGTCATGTTTAGTGAAGTTGAACTATAACTTATACTTTACTTTGGTAATTTTTTTTTAAGGCAAAGACAGAGTATACTTTAATAGATGCTATTCTTTCTAAGTAGAAGCCTAAATATAATTTTTCAAAAACAAAGTAAAATGAACAAAATTAAAGGAAATAACATGGGCAGATAACTCTCACTGTTTTAATTTCAATGAATAAATAAAATTCCACCAAAGATGCCAGTCTTGCATTAAGACACAGTACAGTGCACCTTATTAGACACTAAAAAAATCTACATGGCAGAGAAACCCTTGCCTGACAGTTGATTTTGTGTGTTTAGTGAAGCGTGCGCTCTACAGCCCTTCCGACCCTTAAGGCATTCATCATTTCTGTCTTCTGCTACAGGATTTCTCAGTAACAGGAGCTGCATTCTGCTGTGGCCTCTCAATGACCAAAAACCCTAACACAGCTTCTCACTCCTCCTCATAGGAGGAGGGGTACCCGGCTTCAACAAGCCGCATCCTCCCTCCTTCAGATGCAACAGCCTCGGCTCCCTTCCACATCCAAACAGCTTCCAACTCAGTACCTTCGCAGGTGAAGCACAGCTTTGCCTGCTTAGGAAGTCCAGCATCGCTGCTGGTGTGGAATACCACAGATGCGATGAAGTAGCTGGCCAGGAATCATGCATGCCTCTTGGCAGCTGCTGGGCCAAAAAAACCAGTTTCAGTGGGTGGCTGGTGAGTTAGCCTGCTGCAGAAACTTGTCTCTCCTTCTGTCAAGTTTATGTGAAGGTGACCAAATGTGAAAAAGTTATCATAAAGGATGTCTAGATATACCCTGGAATTGCTTAGGTTTTGTCCCAAGACTGAAAAGCTCCCCTGCTTTCACTAATAAACAGGAGCAGCCTGGTGAGGGTGTATCTTGTCTCTCAGTGGCACATAGCCCTGGCTTGGCCCATCTGCCTTGTGCTTCTGTAAACCTGAGATTCAGCTTTCTGCAAGAGCAAAATTCTGGGAGCCAGCACCAAAAGGCAGTTATTTAGTAAATGAATGCTGCTATCCCAGACATGCCATGGCCACAACTGCGTAATTTCAAGGAAAACACCAATGCTGGAAGCAGCATGAGTATAAAGTGTCTTTGACTCTAATCTGTTATGTAAAGAAGTTTATGCATAAGACAGACGCTTAACAACAGGGCATGATTGGAAAGTCTGCCTCACTAACATTATCTTTTTACATTGATTAAGGCTGAGCAGAACCCAACATAACTGGAGTCTAGATAATTTAGATATCTGAGATCCTGTCTAACTGTCCAGCTCCAAGAGTTCTCTTGTATTACTCATGTTACTTTTGGTAGCTTGCTTGCTACAGCTGCAAACCAGAGCTGAGAACTACTGCTAGCTGAGCTAGGTTATCCAATTCCAACTAGCACCCAACTCGGCAGGAGCTAATTCACTCTTCTTCTCATACTAGGTTACAGTGGCTGCCTGCTTCCAGGATGTCAACTAGCTATTAAACACTTGAGTACTAGAGACTGCACTAACCCAGAGCTAAAAAAAAAACAACCAACCAAACAAAAAAAATCTTGTGTAGGCATAGTTTTAAGCATGCACTCCCCATTTCTTTATGATAAATGGGTAAGCTGCAAGGAATGAACAGCAGGTCGTCTTTATGATTTTTTTCTACTTCCTTCAGAGATGCAAAACACGATAGTTTTGACAGTCAATCTGAAAAAAAAGGCTGAAAGAAAGACTTCAATTTCGTAGAGTTGGAGTCTGCCATTATTTTTCATCTGCATTACATTTGACTCATTAAAAAAACACATTTGTTGAGAAAGAAACTAATTAGTAACACCGAACTAAATTAAAAAACAAAAACAAATCAGACATGTCATTATCATCAACAAACATCAGTCAAGAAATTAATCTGTTGAAGCTTTGGACATCTATTGATAAAGACTTTCACAAATTCATTTGGAGATGCATTTGAGCAGAGTAAGGAATTGAAGTTACAACAAATGAAAATACTCAGAAAGGAAATTGGGTAACCCCACACTCTAAAGCCAAAGTTCATACTCGAGGCCTCTTCAGTACTGAAGGGTGTGCCGGCCTCCCACTGTTGGCTAATTAGCAGCACAATGATACTGTCCATCTCTGGAGAAGAACTGTCTTAATTAAATTGTGTGTTACTAGACCAGGATTCTAAGAGCTAGTCTAGCAAACATTAAACCTTTAATATGGAGTGCACATGATATCTGGCGCAGTGACTGTTCTGCAGTGCTGTGCAGCCTTTTCCCTTCACATTGGGTAGTCCTTAATTGCAAATGCACGTAGTACATGCATCACAGAAATCTGCAAGAGCCTCATCCTCAAGAGGTGAAGTAGCATAATGCATGAAAGTGGTGGAGAAATGAGGACAGCAAAGCATTTCTTGGCAAGTATTAGCAACAAGTGCTTTCTGGTCATTACGTTTCTTCCCTGTGAACATCTGCCATACACAGGAGAAGTTATTCACGGTCATGGGGCTCCACAGATGACAGAAAAAACCAACAGTGAAATTTGGTATCCAACTTTAAAGCAAAACCAAAAAAATAAAAAAACCCTCTAGCTTTAAAGTGATGGGATAGGTGTCTGCAGGCTTGAAATCTCTATGTAATTTCCAAGGATAATGGTTGCTATCCCAGAGGTTTTCTTCTCCATTAGTTCTGCCGGTTGTCATTCTGGAGAAACAGCTGGTGAAAAGAAGGCCTTAATTTACTCCAGCTTCTCCAAGTGAAACCAAGGAGCAGCTGCTCCAAGGTTTGGTTTGATTTGACAAAGGTCAAAACTGATCCCCTACTCTGCAGCTCAACAAAATTTACTTGGGAAGAAGTGACTAATCATCTAGGTAGAACATACCCTGCCACTTCAAGCCTGTGGCTTTCATTTTCAAGGCAACAGAGCACACGTGCTAGCTCGAGAAATCCAGCACCTTACTAATTTTCTTTGTATTCAACTGGATCACAGAGCTGTTACACAATGTATACTAAGACCCTATTAGATGCTGGACTCCATTCTTAGGCCCCATCATTCCCAAAACAGGGCCTTTTCTTTCATAAGCTGAAGCATGCAGAAAGGTAACACTTGACTGGACATATTGCATATCTCCTGTTCCTCTACATTCTGCTACGACCTGCTTCCTTCTACAGTGCTTCAGAAGTGTCATTTTACAGACTTTGAAATACCTCTTCCCCCCTCTCTTAACTGCTACTACCCCCTCTAACCTTTCCTTCCAACAGCCTGTTTTGTTTATTCAAAGGAGAATTATGATTTCCACATTGGTCAGTAATACAGTAACGAAGTTGCTTTAGGAGTTAGGCCAGCTGGAAGTAATTATTTACACAAATTCTCTACTGAAAAGTCTACCAATATTCAAATGATACATTTTAAATGTAAAAATCATCATCTTAGAGCTGTAGAGAAGCTACAGCATTTTGTGCAAGCTAGTCTGCCAGCATTAGCTGTTTGGTGCTGACTCTGCAAAAATGAATAACATTTGAGCATACTAAAAAACTGTATTGTGTATTTATTGCATATTACAGTGGGCACAGAGTCACTAATCAACCACTCTAAGTTCTATTAAAGTTCTGAAAAGCTCATTTCACTGAAACTTTTTGTGGTTACCACTTTCCTCTTGTCAACACAATCTTGATATTCAGTATTCTACTGTTAGAAAGAAATCTCAGGTAAATCTGAAAATAAGTAAAAATTACACAGACAATGTACTCGGACCTTCTTGCTGCAAATCAGCTTTGAAGAAACCATCTCAACAGCCAAGCAGCAATGTCTCTGTAATTTTGTAAACTGTCTCTGATTTTGCACCCCTCCTGCCCCGAGGTAGTCTTCATATAGCAATAGAGGCTTTTTAATAACTTACAGTGAACATCAAAGACAACTGGTTCAGACTGTATTGTTTTCTGGCCCGATGGTCCGTAATATGTCACAATGCAAGAAAACTTGGCATTTGCATCTTCCTTTGTTGGCATGTACTGAAGAGATGATGTCATGGTGAAGAGTCCAGTTGATTTGTCCACAATCTTTTGCAAATTTATGACCACAACTGAAATGGAAATACTGTTTCAGTGTCACACAGACAGAATTTGCAACCTTTTTCCTACATTTTGTTGCCTGCTCTGTATTTGCTATCAAGCTGCAAACATGCAAGCAACTTGACAAATTACCCAAGAGACTGTACAGTTTTCCTCTAGTATTGCCACTGACGTATACCAGGAATGTTTTCTCAACATCATACTCCTAACATACTGTACATTTTAAATCAAATCAAAACAAAAAAGTAATTGCAAGCTGGTGGGTTTTTTAATAAAAATCTCAGCTTAATTTGTAAGACAGAAGGCCTAAAAAATGCTGGCAAAAACAATTTTTAGGATCATATTTATAACTTAATTTTGTAAGCATTCTGTATTTTATGGAAGGTAAAACACTGTGGTCTGATCAGCCTGTCAAAATCAAAGTTGAAAGGGAGTGGGGAAAAAAAATTGTTCTTAATAATCCTGGAAAGTGAATACGTCTATAAGGATGATGATCTACATGGTCCAAAACACAATACTGGACAGGTGTGAAATTGAGACAGTTAATACCTTATAAGAAGTTGGAAATTAGATACAGGTTTCAACTAGCTACATAGGCTCAAGAATAGCTTTGCAAGAGCATTAACAAAGGCAACCCTCCTCCCCCTGATGTGGTTTTAAAGCTGGAACTGAAAAAGAGAGATTATATGGCATAGCTTGGGTGCTTTGAAAGGCCTAGAAGTTTCCTTCTAGTTTCATCTTCCATATGAGTAGTTTTATTCAAAGGAACAATACATTAGGCTAAAGCAGAGCAACTCTTCTCAACGCAGTTCTTCATGCATACACCTGTCTGTGGATTCAGGGACATTGGCCAGTACTGAAACATACCTTCTTCCACAGGCTGCAAAACTTTCCCGTTTTTGTACCATGTAACATTGCCTGCAGGATAACTCTCTCTTGCAACGCACTCCCCAAGCTGCAAAACAGATAGGAATTAGTCGCTGGTTTTCTCCACTATGTTTTAATACAATTCTATTTTCGCTTATGCTGCTTTGGGTAAAAATTTCCAGAAAGTTCAAATGCTTAACCCCAACCATTTTTCTTAAACAGGACAAATCCCATCAGTGAGGCTTAGGTACAATTCGGAAGAGGGTTCGGTGGTGGGTCTAAGGTCAGCATGGCCCCTGTTTGCAGAATCAGGCAGGGCTAATACAGTAGTGGCGAGGGAACTGCTCTGCGCTTAGCCTGGCTATAGACCACGATCTCTCACAGGCAGGTGTGCACGCAGGCACACGCACCATCTCCGAGCCTCAGTCCATCACCTCTCTCCGTTTTGACTGTAAAGGACTTTAGGCAGCCGTCAGGCACATAACTTTGAGGGAGAATGCTGCTCTTACCATTTGTAGCTTCTCTGTTTCTAAGAAGTCTGCTTGATGTAAGATTTCTGGTTGAGAGGGTTGTTCTAAAACATAAATAGGATAGAAGTACTAGTGAAGGGAGCACAAACAGCTGTTTGAAAAACAAAAAGTTACTAAAAGATACATGGACTTTGAGACCAGATAGAACAATCTGGCCTGGTATAGTCTTACCTACGCTTTGCCATTAAAAGAAGAAAAAGTGAGGTACTTCTACTTCAATATTAGCAAATGGACTGAAAAGGAAAAACTATCACCTTAAAATGTGTCATACCTCCCATAATAGATTCCATGCATTCTGACATTATATATTTTAGCCAGGCAGACTAGTTCAGCACCTGGGAGGAGAGAACCTGATCTGCTCTACCTGATTTATGATACACATGCCGGAGAAGGAACCAGTGATACAGAAACTATAGCAACAGAAAAGCAGCTTTACTGTGGATATTACTGTAGCTGAGCTGTCACATTATAAAGGAACAAATTCAACCTAATCATTCTTCTAATGTTTATTTTTCCTAACTGGGATTGTTATATTTAAGAAATTCAGATGACAGAGATAAGTGTAATTACTTTAACTGATTCTGAGTTAGTTATGACTCTCTTAAAAAAAATAAACTTTTTCTTCAGTGCCAGTATGTCCTCTTATTTACTTTTATTATGGTAGATGGACCTCTTAGCTTGCCAAAGTGGAGGATCTATCAGTGTTTCCATCATAAAAGACTACTTTCTAGAGACTATATAACTTGTCTGTTAAAATAGTTTGGCCTGAAGCCCGGAATGCAAATTTTTATCTCAAAAGAGACAATTTTCCCCACAATTTTAAAAGAAGAGGGGAAGAGTGAGGGGGGTGGGTGGGAAACAACAATGTTTATACAGTCAAAGAAAACCTCTATACCCTAGCTATACTGCTTAAAAAAGCATACATATTATATACTTCTACAGACTGAAACATCCTTAACCATGCCAGCTTACAGAACCTTTTTTCCAAATCAAGCTCCCTATGAAATAATGTATGTATGTCAATATTCCCAGCCCAAAGCGAATTTCACACTGTCTTGCCGAAATCTCTACACACTGATGAAGTTATTAACGTGCAGGTGTACTGCTCCTGCTGCCGCAGAGGCAGCAAGCCTACACGTTCCCACAATAATCCATTTGCTCTGTGTGTGTGTGCACGCACGTGTATGCGTGTGTTTGTGTGTACACAAATGCACAGATATTCTTCGCTTGGAAGACTAAGCCAGGATGGAACAAGAACAGCTCAAAAGGGAAATGAAAGGCAATAAAAGAAGCTGTTCGTTTCACATTTTCAAACAACTTTGCTTGTGGCAAAAAACCAAAACCCAAACAAAACAGTCAAAGCTATACACCAAAACCATCACAATTTCTTCAAAGGGCTAACAAAGATATTTAAAAAAAAAAAAAGTAAATGTTTATTTCTCTTTTGTTAGTTTTAAAGGAAAAAGGTTAACCTAATTTCTGTAAGAACCTGTCAAGGACAAAACATTTTCGTGTCAGTTCAAGCAAATTAGGTTTTACAAGACCATTAACAGGCCTTCTGGTTCAGATTTTCAGGTCCCATAAACAAGCACAGCTGGCTGCCTGTCCAGTCACCAGCTGATCAAACCACAAACCACGATGCCGTCCCCCACCTCAGCTTTGCTCCCTTTCATCTCTCACCTCCCCCAGGACTGGTTAGAGAAGCCCTAATTTTTGGTGCTTTGGACCCCCCCTCCCGCACTGCTTCTACCAAGGGAAGGGGAGGACGTCCCGCTCCGCGGCCCCTGTGCGGCTCTCCCTCTTCTGCGTGCTCTGGTGACCCAGCAGACGCTCCAGCCGAGAGGCAGAGCCAACCTGCTCTCAGAGCAGCCTCTGAAGGGGATCGCCCGCTGCCAAATCCCCCCAGCCGCAGCACGTGCACCAAGGTAATTCACTACAAAAGACTTATTTGGCATTCACTAGCTCAGCGTCCGAAGCGAGAAGAAATTTTAAACTTGGCAGCAGCAAAGCCCGCTTTGGTGGGTTTGCAACTTCAGCACGCTGCTTATCTCTTGGCTTAAGAGCTTGCCAGAGTACTCTGCAACTCTACGTAGGTCCTCTAATAGGGGGGAAAAGAGCTCACTGCCTGCAAAAGCCAAGCATCGGTGTAACGGGAAAGCAGCTAACGTCCGCCGGGCTGCTTTGCTTTGGAAACTCCGGCCATTTAATTCCAGCAAAAAGATGCTGACAGGATCCATCTGGAAAGCTGGTAGAGCTTGTTTGAGTAGTCCAGGGATTGAGACTAGCAGGTGGTACCTGTGCAATGAGCCATTTCAGCTCGTTAGTTCTGAGTTAATCAGGTAGCACAGCTGAGGACGTGACAAGCTCCAGTGAAACCCAGCGTCAGTCATGACTTCTGGGATACAGCTGAGTTTCAGGTGCATAAAATTTTGGTTTATGAGGGTTTGCACTGGTGCAGCTTAGCTCTGTATCTGTGGTTCAAGGAGTAAGAAACTCCACTGGTTAAATACATGAAGCTTGCAGGCTATTCTTAACTCTTTCATAATTAAACCAAACAAGCAAGCAAGCAACAACAAAAAATGAACCCCCCCAAAACAGACTCAAGGAAGTTAAATGCAAAGAAATGTTAAGAGAACCCTAAAGTTGTGAACAAAAAATGAAAAACTGCAAAGGTAATTTTTTCTTGCAGTGCTAAGTCAGCTACATTACATATGTGGCATCCTCTATTCTTATCTTCCTTAGTAAACAGAAGCTTTCTCTATTAGTATTAATGCATACAATAAAACATACAAGCTGTGCTCCATGGCTGAGTTAGCATTGTGTTAATATTTGGTGCAGTACACAGTAATTCAAGCAGTTAGCATTTCGTTTCACCATATACCACTGTCTCATCTACATATTTACTGCTGTGCAATAAGTAAACATGATAATTCTTTATCATCTCCTTTGAAGCGCTGTGTTTACTATGCATGCTCTGAGCACACTCCTCCCTGTTGTCATTAATTCGATTGTTCTTGCAGTCAAATTGAAAGTGAAACAAGGGAAAGAAATTACTGTTGACTCCTAATCTAGTTTTGAACTCATTTATGCTACTGACAAACTTCTGCCTAGACACCACTGACGACTCCCTGACACCTTCCCCCTGGGAGAAGAGTACGGGTGCCCTTCCAAAATATGAATTCATGTTTTTCAAGCAGAAGTGGGATCTGTTTGAAACTGCCCATCCCTGCAAGCAACGTGTTCCCACAACAGAGCCTTACTTTGACTGTGTAAGCCTGCACCTGAAGAGCAACAAAGGTCAAAAAAAGCCATATAAAACCAGGAAGCTGAGGAAGATATCCACTGCAGTCACAGGGCTGAATTTACAAACGCTTAACCTTAGCCTCAGACCTGTGCCCCTAAAAAGGGGCAACGCCGCTTCCGCAAGCTGAGTCAGGCTTTGAGGGATGACACGTCTGCTCTGGATCAGCACCAGGAAGGGGCCAGGTTCGCCCACGCTCCTGCGCGAGCTCAGAGCAGGACTGTGCCTCGGAGCACTGGGGTCTGCGCTGCCGATTAGCCCTGCGATCGGTCTGCAGCGATATCAAACGCTTATAAACTTTGCTGTGCTCTAAAGCAGAACCGCAGACTGGTCTTCCTCCTGCTAGTACAGCAGGGGACAAAATAAGCATTTGGGGCTAGCAGCTCATCTTCCAGCCTGTTGCTCGCTCACTTGCAGTTCGTACAGTTGCATGCTAGCTGCTCAGTGCTGGTTTAAAGCTCTCCACTGATCTAATCCTGCAGACTGCACACAGTTAATGCTTCCCTCCTGCAGAAAAATTCGCTTGGAGAACAAATGGAAAATAATCAGTGCTAATTTTACATTTTTCATTTCCAAGGCCAAATGACATCACATAAGTGAGTCATTATCAAAGCCTAAAATTCTCTTTGAGCCAGCACTTATCGTGAATAAACTGCAAGTGCAGGCAGTCCTGTTACATAAATGCCACCAGTAGATTACATTTTTGAAAGCTGCAGAAATTTGCTAGTCTTAGTAATTTACTCCGCCAAACTTACTTTCTTGTCTTTAATCTTTCCCTTAAACAAAAGTTTCTGTAATTTATGATTCAGATGCTGATGAATGTTAATGGTAGTAACAACTAGATTTACTTACTGAAGACTTTGACTATCGTTGGCTCTTCGGAAACATCATCTTCTGTAACTAGCATACATACAAATCTCTTTTCATCACTGATTCTTGCATTCTTGATGGATAACGTATAGTTTTCTGAGAGACTCAACCTGTCTTTGTAGTCTGGTACATCATCATACTGTACATTTTTTTTTGTTGATGATCTGAAGGCAATAAATACTGGAGATCCATTTGGCATTTCCTATAATAAAAGGAAGAACACCTCTATTTTGCATAAACATTCATTTAGAAGTTCCTGAAGATCTGCAATTGGTACAAACCCATAATTTAAAAAAAAATCTAAAAAGTACATCACATGGCTTTTTTCCTGATTAATTTCTGCTGTACAAACAAGAAATTGAGTGTAATACGAGAGCTAGTTTAAGACTGCCATGGTACACATTGAGAATATCATCAGTAGAAATAATTTCAAACCTTTGGCTCAATCTCAGCATAGCATAGGGCTTTCTCTGATGAAGGCTGGTGGTTCTGGCACCACCTGCCTCTGTATGAAAAAGTATTTGAAATAGAAGCATTTGCAAGCTAGGCAGTTTCCTTTTTTTTTTTCCTGATTGTTTTACATATTCATATTGTTTGTCTGAGATATTCAGACTTCATTCCAAATGCAGGATTTAATCAAGCATAACTGCCTATTTTATTCTAAACTAGTTTTTATTTTGGGGTTTTTTTTCTTCTTTGTTTTTAAAGGACCCAAGAGCTTGTGGCATGGGAATATACATACAATCAAATATTGTTATTTATGCATGTCAGGATAATCTGCAAAATATCACTTTCTAGACATCCTCCTTATATTAATCAGTATGCAGTTGCCATCCTAAGAAGGCATACATAGTTGACAGCCTTGAACAAACCTCCTGTATCAGAAATTTATTTTTATGTGAGACAAAGTTACAGGCAGAGCTCTGCGGGACTTGATTCCCCTCTCCTTACACAAACACACAGAGCAGGGACAGACACTGTCTGCCTTTATTTAAAGTGAGGTGAAAGGTTGACTCCACCTCTACGTTCAGCATTGTGCTGGGGGCTGGAAGAAGTTTTCATTCCCTTTTATCCCTTGCACCTTGCGGCGCTGATGTGAGTAGCGTTCCCAGCACAAAACCTCAGCTTGACTGCAGAGCCCACAAAAGCATGACGATGCTGTGACAAGAGACGAGTGGTGGCAGAGCTGGGCAGGGAGCAGGAGGCAGCAGCTAATGTGAAGTTCAAATTCCCTTACAGTCTTTCTCCCTCTTTCACTTTTAACTCTTGGATTACTCTAGATGTCGGTCACACAGGAAAGAAAGCTTTGCCTTGACTTGATACATGCAAAGTTGGCTGTCAAGTGCAAATGAGCTCTTAACTCCGTAAGCCTACCCAGCGCAGGAGCACGCACAGGTAGATGCTGAAGGGAGCGACACCTCCTCCTGCCATGGTGCACGTCTCCCAGTGCCCCCAGGCTCCCACTAGCGATGCCAATTTCTACTCCCAAGGCAGAAGAGCAGAAAATGGAGTTCCTCTTCCTTCCGATGAAATAATCACCCCACCAAAAAACCCCAATCCAACCCCCCCCCCCAGGTAAAAACAAGTGTTCCCATGCTGGGAGCAGCCCTGGGAGAACGGGTATCACTTCCACTTTGTTGTGTGGGCTGTGTCAACAATTTCATACAATAGCAACTAGATGGGCTTTTTTGCACATTAGGTTTCGTGTCCCTTTCCATTTAGAAGAAGCTGTAACATCTCCATTTGCCGCTTGGTACTCGTCCGAGATAAGCAATCCAAATACACCGGAAAGAGATAATGCGTTTCTTTTTCTCAAAATAGCCTTGCATCTTCATAGAGATGGCCTTGTGCCTTCCCAAGAAAAGTCAGCAGACTAAAAAACTCATTGCAAAACATAGGCACTACATCTTCTGAATGCTTACATGAAATAGTTTCACTGTCCCTTTTTGGGGAAATGTTCTCCACAGACTTCTGACTTCACTTCCCAAAACATGTTTGCGGAGAAGGAACTCTTGAGTGGATGAGGACTGCAAAAGCTGCAAACCTCCAGGTACAAGTGAAGAAGCCAGGGGGGATTACTAAACACCCACCAGTGGCAGACCAGTCTGCTGTAAAATAGGCTGGTGGGTGCCATTTACAAAGAGAGAGAGAGAGAGAGAGAGAGAGAGAACTATGTAATTTTAAATCCACTGTCAGAGTAGAAATCACCTGTTATTGCTGACAACATTTTGGTTTGAGCATGAGAGGAGATTTAGATGAACTTCACAGAAGCAGGAAAACATGATATCAGTCTGAGAAACAAAAGGGTTTTGGTAGCCTGGTGGTTTTTTCCACGTATGCTTCCAGGTTTCATTTGACTTTGATATGCTTATTCTCCTTTTGGCCTGGGATACTGATTGCATACAGGAGAAGCGCATCATGCGGTGTTTCTACCGCAGGCTGACCAAGACAACCGAGACAGCGCCTGTGGTTTTGCCTTTGCTCTCCACGCACCAGAAACAGCAGAGTGAAACCAGCAGCAAGTCAGTTACTAAGATCAGCTCTGCCCTCTTCTTTGCTGTGCATTAAACACACTGAAGCATGGAACAGTATTGAGTGACTGCCTGATCAACCAAATGCGGGGACAGTGCTTTCCCAGGGATGAAGCACACCCTGCTTCACGCACTTCAAAAGTATTCAAATGTACAACGATGGCTCTGTCAAGTGAGCAAGACACCACTGGGTAACACGCCAGATCTCTAATACAGGTTGGCAGAGAACTCCCAAATAATTATTTCTCTTGAACAACGAGATTCATTCCTCAAACCTCTAATCTATGCTTGGCAGAAACTATGCAGATTGGAATCTTGCAGTCTTACAAACACAGGAATAAATGTCTTTGTATCAGAGGCAGAAATCGTATTGGATTGGAGTCTGGTAATCTCACACACAAAAAATACACATCTTTTATACCAGCTTTAATGAATGTAAAGATAAGCTATACTTACATATTTCCATTTTCCAAACATAAGACCATCTGGTACTTCTAGACGACAAGGCATAGTAATAGTATCTCCATATACTGCATTTACTGTGTACAATCCCAGAGCTAGAGGAGAAACAGAAAGAGAGGAAACAATTTTCAGTGTTTTCTTGAATTCCCATATGCTAGCTAGTGTTTAGTTCACAGCTATTACAAAAGCAGAGCCACCTCCTTTGCAAATGGTTATTTTCCAGCATGTAGCATTTATCCCCAAACCTCTAACAAAACAGGATTCCTGTCACTAAATTTGTTTACTTAAAAATTATGACCTTTTCGGACCCATGCTTCCTGCTGCAGTCAGTGGGAGCCAAGTGGATTTCCAAAGGGGATTGCACCTGCTCAACTGGACGAACACGTATTCTACAATCAGTATCCACAGCTATTGTCGCAAACTTAAAACTTGAAAAGGAAAATCCCTAAACTTTTTATTTTCTTCATCTGAAAAAATGGCCACTTCTGCCTGGAGAGGTTATGTTGCAATGCAATATTGTGAGGAGGCCATCAGACAAGTGATATTCTGACTGCTGCACTACATTAAAAACTTAGAAAAGGAAGAAAAGAGAATATTATTTAAATGCTGGGTTCCCTTAAACTTGGGAAACAAACTAGTCTGCACATTTAGATTTTGGAAAAATGAAGTGAAATGCTTCTATGAATTATTTAAGAATAGCTTTTTTGGAAACCTCAGCACAACGTTATTGTGCTAATGCATACAAATTTACAGAATAAAACTGACCCACTTATTTTCATTGTCCAAAGCATGTGAATTGAACAAAAACAACAGACCCTAAAGTGATGAAACGTTAAAATGCAAGGAAGTTTAAAGGGGAAGATGTTACAACGTGGTGCATTTGCTATAATACAACTTTGCTTTGCTCCTATTTCCCATAGTTGCCTCTGCTCTCGGTGATGCTCGCTGCTCCTTACGCTGGATGGAGGTTTTGCCTCTGGTGCTTGCCCGGTGTCACTGAGCAAGTGTGCTGGCTGCCTGCTCTCACCCATACGTCTGTGGCCTTTGTCAGGGTCTTCTGCCCAGACACTCAGGACCTCCCCTTTGCTCTCCCTTCATTTGCAACTGGAGCTGCAAAATCAAGGGCTTGCTGCCAAAGAAACCTTATTTAAGAGAGAGCAGTAGGATGCTGGTGATGTAGCCAGGGCCACAGAAACACCCAGTCCTTCTAGAGACATTCATTTTTCTGGAGATTCAGCCCTTCTTGCTAGAGCTGGAAAAAGCAAACCTCTTCCCATGTGTCCCCAAAGACCTGAGCCGCAGACTCCTTAACTTTTCCCAAGTCCCGAGGCAGCCGCTGGAATGACCTGACAATTCTATTGAGTGCATATGTGCACTCTATAGGGAGGTTTTCCCAAGGGATTTTTTTTTTCATTAAACAAAATCATGTCTTTTCAAGAGCCAAACACTGAATTCCTCACCTACAATTTAAATTAGAAAGTCTCCAGAGCATTTTCCTCAGGTGAGGACTTCAGAGCTCACTGTTAGCATCAGCTCCTATTTATCATTTGTATCACAGTGACAAATGAGGCTGTGACTTGTGCTGTGTGGTACTGCACAAAGAAATAGTATTCCAAAATCCTTCCTTAGGGACACTTGTAACCTGGTTGGCATCACATGGTAAGGCAGAGAAGCAGGCAAGCAGGCTGGAGCTCAAACGGACTAAAGGAATGCAGGAGATAACAGGCACGACTACCTGCACGTATCTTAAAACTTTCTTTCCTTCACACTGCTCCTTTTCAACTAAACACCTGCTAATCTTCTTCTGATTCTGTTATATAATTAGTCACAAGCATATTTTAGGTACATTATTCACACTGTAAGGACTGCATGCTCTAATTTGCTGTATGGTTTACGAAGACCAGCTGTTTTCTAAATGACAATAGCAGTCGGTCCACTAGATGGTGCTGAGTAAGTGCAATCTTTAAAAATCAAACCAGATTTTTTTGAAGAAATCAGCTAACTTCAATTTTATGGAAATAGGACCAATGTTTTGAACTAAAAATGGAAGTAAAATTCAAAGCTGGAACAATTTTTTCCCTTGGCCTTCTCTTGCACTCATCCTCATTCTGATCTCCAGGAGGGTGACAACACAACTTCGGCTTTGCAAGTTGAATCCCAATTTTCATTTCTGCTAGAGCTAGGAAAAAACAATCCTTTTTGGTTCCTCTCTCCCATGGGTGCAAAATTACAAGAGACTTGCAAATATATATTCAATTAGTAAATTGGTTAGTACCTGTTAGAATTCCAGTCAAGTGTCATTTAGTAATTTGAAATTCTGTAATGGTATTTTGCATCACATGGAAAAACAGAAACTGCTCCTCCTTGTAGGAGATATTGCCTCTCAATAGGGGAAAATAAAATGACCCTGTGAAATCTGTAATGTTGTTCTCTCCTAGACACCCATTTAACCCCTGCAAGTTGCTAAGGTAACAAGTACATGCTACCAAAGACCTGACAAAGAGTCTCAGGAGTGTGAATGAAACTGTATCTGGAAAGGATTTACATTTATAGCATTCAGAGCAGGTAACTGATGAATGGCCTGATAAAGACTGGCCTCTGATTTTAGAAGAACTCTTTCATCTGAAAGGCATTCCTTAAGATGGACCCCTCCCCCCACCCAATCATGTCTTGCCATAAATTCTGCCTCAACTAAAATCATACAGTTTTCTAGGAATTTGTTAACACAGAACAAGACACACACAAGTTTTACTTTAAATATAGAGAAATGGTCCTTACAAGAATACAAGAGGCTGTAAATTTTTCTCCTCCCGCTTCCATAGCAACAAATATAGGACATTTAAGGACTGCAAACTAGTTGAGTAACTGCAAACTTTCACTGCAGGAACTGCAGTAACCTCTGCAAAACAACTTTGCAAACCTATACATTTAAGAAATAAACAAACAAAAAACCACCCCAACAAATTTGGAAATTCCTCTCTCTGTTGCTATTAGATATATTTGTAAAATGGTGGGATGAAGAAGAAAATAGAAGAAAATGATTGCTTAATGATATGACAGGGCTTACCTTCCACCATCATTTTCTGAGAGGCTTTTACATAGCATCCAGCTCATTGTAAGAAAAAGAAAATGAAGGCAGGATCTACAAATACATAACAAATTGCTCCATGCCCTAACACAACACACAGTCAATGTCAAGGCCCTTGTATCTCATTAACTGCAGGAGAGCGCAAAGGCAACTATAGGGAATAATACTACAAGAAGTTACTGGACACCATGCCCTGTCTTGCTGTAGTTCTGATGCATCTTTCTGTAGCTAATTATGAGCTCAGCCAGCTCCCCTGCATGATTTTCAGATGTTGCCTTCTAAAACTGAGCCAGTGCTGTTAACAACGCCACTAATTGAGAGGCAGGATCTTGTCCCATGTACGCTGGGAGAAGCTCTACTTGAACTATCTACGAATTGCACCTATATACCAGGTTAATCCAGCTCACTGTCCTTCCATGTCTTTACATACAGGTTTGAGCAGGCCGAGGTTTAACTCATTTTCCCCACTTTGATCCAGTGCTGAAGAAACTCTGAGCCAGATGAAACCTTTCCATGTAGGTTCGGACATGGGAAGAAAGTAGCAGCATCAGGAGGTATGACAACTCAGAGAGAGATCCCAGCAGGACACACTGAAATTGAGATGGCATTTGCTGTTGATGCTTTTAATTACAGTACTTTCCACATCCTCATGGCAGTGCTAACTGGCATCCTTTTTTGTCCCCATCTCTGCCTGTGTTTCACAAGAGAAGAACCAAACAGTACCCACATATTTGGGTGACAAAGTAAAAATCTGACTACTTGATCAGAGGCTTAAAGGCAGAGGACGTGTGCTGTTGTTATTTTAGATCCTCACCAAGAGTATATGATGCAGGTCATAATTTAGACTAATTATTATTTTTAAATCAGTGGGATCATATAAGAGGAATGGACAGAAGGTGAATATCTAAAATTCTGGAAGCTGATATTTCTCCAGAGAAAACAACAAAAGCTGTAGGAAGCGTATGGAAAGCAACCATGTTTTCCACCTCTACCTTCCATTGGAAATACTGAATATTTTTCTTGCCGCAAACATCTTTTTAAAGTGCTTAAGAGTAACATTTTTGTGACAAACGTAAAACAGAACAAGGGCTGTTCAAACATCCTTCAGATGCAAGATCCACAGGAGACTATGAACCTGTATCTGGAAACTATGACTAGCAGAGGTACTGCCCAAAACTCATCTTCACCGGCCTGCTCGGCTGCCTCACAGCACAGCTTACTTCCAGTTACTAAAGCAATGGAAAACTGGGCAGCTGAACGTCCCTCAATACCCTGGAGTCCACTGATTGAAATGATGTTTTACATCGACAAAGATGTCCTGTATTTTCCTTCTGCACCTAATTTTTTACTGCTGATGTTTCTGCCCCAGCAGGTTCAGCAATGATGCTTTCTATTACATTTTCTGGACCCAAGGAGCAAGGTCTCATTACCAGAGAACAGCAGGACACGTTGGCTACTACAGTTCTTTGCAGCAATCAGCAGCAGCAAGCAGAGGAGGTCAATTAGCAGCTTCTGGAATGGAAGTGTCCAAACCCAAGAGCTATTATGTCTATTTAGCACCTACTTTGGAAAGTTAACTACTTTGGAAACTCTACATTAGGATGAGCACTCCAAATCTTTACTTGAGGTTTTGGTCCTCCCATCTTATCTTCAGGTAGCCCAGATTAGCTTGTATTTAATATGTTGTGGGAGGTTAAAAAGCTTTGCCTCATAAAATAAATATTTTATGAAAGTTGCTTGCTATCAGCTCTTAAGTAGCAACAGGCAGATTTTTCTTTCTGCCTTCCACTTCCTAAATGCATTTCAGCAATATAGGCATACACATAGGTCCTCTTGAGCATCCACTTAGGTACCAGCATAAATGGTTGGTACCAGCCTAAGTGATTTCTTTTAGGAAACATCAGTATTTCACAAAAACAATAATTACATGTTCTTAAGATCAGGAAGTCACCTTTTCAAATCATAGAATCATTCAGGCTGGAAATGACCCTTAAGATCATCAAGTCTAA